CCTCCAAATCTCTCTTCGGATTATCACCATTCATCTACCGTAACTCAACAAAATTCGACAACGTCCAATTATCAGAATCAAACGCCAGTCAAGAAATTCGATTCTGATTTTTCACATTACGAATTACCGCCGATCACTGAAAGTTTCTTAACTCCTACAACCAGTCACATAACCACTACGAATAATTTTCTTGATGTTAGTTCATTTTACATTCGTTTGTTTGTTTTTGTGTGGTGTATTAATGAGACGAATGTTTTGGTCGTTGCTCGTTATTGTTGTCATGTTTTTTATGTTTTTATGATACTTTACATTTTTCTCTTTTTCATCCAACAAAGCGTTTCAAATTTTGGCATGAAGCAAAGTGAAGAGGTTTGGTATTCATTGTGTGGGAAAAATAAAAGCAAGAAATCAGATTGGATTTGCTCATTGAGAGTTGAATTTTAAGATGTAATTGATTATTGCAAGTTGAAATTTCAGTCTTCATTAACAAATGCTCAAAATATCGACGTTTTTGGTCAGCCTGTTTTCAACCCACTTCCAGGTGAGGGATTATCATTCGTTGTAACACTATTCAAATCTGCTTTTAGAGCAGTTTTTTAGTCAGTCAAAATGATATGAAGTTGTTTGATGCAGAACACTTTCTTATAGCAGTGTTCATTATTCAGAACAGTCATCAGCAATGACAAATGGATCGCCAATGAATGCGAACAATAGATATGTCAGTCCAGAGTTATCGCAGATGAAAGCACGAAATGAAGAAAGCGCTAACGGCAACCGAATTGAGGAGGATCCATTCGACGTGCAATGGTCTCAGCTGTCCTCTGCAAAAGCGGATTCCACCCAACAATCGTTCACTAATCACAACACGACGAATCCGTTTTATAGTCATTCAAGTGCTCTTACCACATAATTTATTCTCGTTGGGAACATTTTTTTTTGTGAATTTGAGATTGGCATTGATTGATTTGTTGATCGATATTAACAATGAATGACTTAATTCATTGGTCATTACAAAATTGGTTATTGATCATTGATTTAATGATTGCTTTCCATTGTATGTTTTCACTTTAGCTATCATTATTCTTAATGCACTTACGTTTTCATCAATGTATATGTGTATAATAATAGTAATGGTGATAGAGTAATTATTAAGATATTATTATTATTATTATTATTATTATTATTATTATTATTATTATTCAAGTTCTTATTCGAGTTAACATTTGCCCATTAGATATTGTTGCGTCGATTTTGTTATATTGCTATTAGTTCTAATCTTGATTATTTGAATAACCAGCGGTTTAGCGTATTCTATGAACTTATGTGTTACTCTTTGTATAACTTGCTTCCGTTGCTCATTCGGTGCAAAGTTTCTGTTTAATCCGAATAATTTGTCCTAATCATCATTCTCGAACTAATTTTTTTAAATGTCCATTTTTATGAATGTTTTCTACTAATTGCGATTTTGAGATATCACTTTTACGACGAGAATTTCAATATAATTGAACATCAATAATGGTAATAATGTGAACGGTTTCATTCAATTTGTGGCAGCCTTTAGATTGAACTCATTTAAGGTCTCATTTAGACGTTACTATAACCCTCTTTATTTAAGAGACCCAAGAGATATTCATCCATTCGTCGTTCATTCGTTGATGCGACAATATTTGTTAATAAACAGTTTTCGTGATAGCCTCGATATTGGGGGATAATGATGAAAATAGTTCGTTTGAGGTGTTCTTTTCAAATCGCACTCTGCATTTGACAGCTAATCGCGCGTTTGTTCATCTTGTGCATATTTCTCGAATTTCTTGTGTGCTAATTGATGGTGCACAATTTTGCATATCTTCATCAGCATGTACAATATTCTAATCAGCATTTTTTAGTTCAGTTTCATTTCGCTAATCCACTATAGAAATCTCATTTTTGCATTCAATTCAATTAATCAATCGTTGTCATTCAGTTGTTCAGAGTTGATCATCGATTCACTATCAAAAGCTTTTCTCTTTCTTTTTTCAACATTTTGTCTGTTTGTTTTGTAATGTGATGAGGAAAAAGTAGCAACATACTTGAATGAATGAGCACCAGTTGGGTTGTTGATGTCTAA